TCATCTCTTTGTGAGTCTTCATCTTAGCTGTGGTAGGATTTTCAAGTAGCCCAGAAATGTCATAGTCATCTTCTACTGCCTCCCAATGATCAAATGCTTCAAGATGAACAGTCATCTTTACAACCCATAACTCATACTCATCACCATCAAAAGTAGGTGCGTTGGTTGTGTGTAATATATCTTTTTCCATTATTTTTTTTCACAGATCCCTCAAGATAATAACTCTAGATACTAATTTTTAGTATTTTTTGTTTATAAATGCAAAGAGAATGAGTAATATAAAGTGAAAAGATTGTTGATATTTTATTAAAAAGTTCTATAAAAATAGCACAAACTATATCAGATTACAATCCCTTATTTTATGGCATAACAAGATTATTTGAAATTTAAAAAAAGAATTGTAACAACTTAATATTTAGAATGTAAATAGCTTAACAAAAAATTCCTACAAACTAGGAAACAAACTTTGACTTAATCAGCTTTCATAGGCACATGTTCAACAAACTAATTCTAAGCCATGAAAACATTTGAGGGGCTCAAGATTCATCATGTCAAAGCACTCGCTTAGATACTTCTTGAAGTGAGCACAAGCTTTCATGTCATTTCTAGCTATTACCAGGTTTAGAATTTTAGATAATCATGTTGATAATGATTCCATGTACTTATTCACCAAACACAATTTTTCCAAATGTTAGGAACTTAAATTTGAATTATTCTATGCCATGTTGGACACCGCAAAGGAAGAAATTATTGAATTCTAGAGCACAGATTAAGGAATATTCGTGTATTTAATATTTTCTTGTGAAATTTTTGTTCTGATTCATATAAGAGTTAAAATTCTATTACACTAAATACAAAAGAAAGCACATGTAATAAGCAAATTAAGCATACTTCTTCACCAATAAGATATATAGAGATAACAAAAGCGAATTAGAACAGAATACTCAAGGTTGTAAAAAAATCTAAAAAATAGCAAGTGAAACCAATAAGCAAACCTTAAATTAAGCACCAGGTTGAAATTGGCAACAATGGTGTTCACCTTCTTCACCATAATGGACCTTCCTCACCATAACACACCTACAAAAATCCTCACACATGAGATTGAAGGTTGTGCGATAAACCCTTAAAGGTAAAATTGAAAGTTAAGCTTCAATAAATTTCACCTTTCATCGCAAAATTCCTTCACCGCACCTTCACCACATTGCCTTGCACCTTCTTCACCATATCACACCTTCTTCCCCTTTCATGAGTTTGGCTCTTGTATTTGGGTTTCCTTTTCATGAAATTTATACTTAGGGTTTGCGAGGTAAACTAAAAATATGTGCTCATAATTTTAATTACATGAGGAAAACTGAAAAATTTAGATAAAATGAATAAGTAAATAATAAACTAATAAAAATGTGAATAAAATTAGTAAATTTCACTTGGCACAATGATTGTCGCACAATTGACATATGCTTTGCCTATATAGTCTTGCCAACTCAGGTTGATGGAGGTCTCAAAATATCCATTAATTATTTTTTTTTATTTTCATTAAAAAATACATTTTATAATAAGTTAAAGATTTCTTTAATATTATAAAATTCTTAAATTGTACACAAGATAAAAAGAAAAGTTAACTTTAAATAAGATGAACATTATAAGAGTTTATATATAGCATAGATAAACATTAAAATCCCGCTCTATATATAATAATTTGTAATTTTAGATCAAAAGTGACTACAATACAACACTTAATTAGGAGGTAACAATTGGGAAGAAATTATTTTGTAATTTTTTATCCAAATGAGTGTCGCAACCCAAATTTTTTTTATTTTGCGACCTATGGTTTAGACATCCTTTTAAAAATCTCATCAATTAAGGAATTTCCGGAGACCAGACTAATCCTTAATTAATGATTTTAAAAAATGAGTTCATGGAGTCGCCACCAATGTTTTACTCAAAACATTGGAAAAAGAAAAGGTTTTTAAAAGTCCAATAATGGTCTTGATAACCAGAATTGGGTTCGGGGGTCGGTTACGTGTAAGGGAGGTATTAAGCACCCATACAACACCCTTAATCGGTACCCTTATGATAAAGTTAGCATAACAAGAATTAATAAGTTAAATATTTAATTCCCTTTATTAATGATTATTTACATGCTTGAAATTTAAATTACACAATTGACTCTAAAATATCTACATGATTGCTTTTATTATAACAATGTTTATCAAAGATGAGAAATAAAAGAGACAAAAGAAGATTGATTGAAATGCCTTGTAGCAAGCTTTGTTAGATCTTCAAATATGGAGATCTTTAGGTGCTTTGTGGCAACCTTTCACACTACAATATGTGATGGAAATCTAATCCCCAAGGATCCCTTTGTAAGAGGTAAGACCAAGAAGGGTGAAGGTTGATCCAAGGAGGCTCACACTTGAAGACCATTAGGCCTTTAACTAGGTCCATGGTTAGGAGGCTAGAGGAGGCTTCTAGAGAGGAGGTGCTTCTTAGACCTATGCTCAATATGAGTATTGAGTATGATTCCTCTTTTTAGTCTCATAGTCTCTATTGTACATACATTGTATAGTTTGATTTCTTGTACCTTGTATATAGTAGATACTTGTATAGGTGTATTTTTGCCTTTGTATTTGTGAGGCACTTTATTTCCTTTTATTAGCTATTGTATATTGTTTCTAGGGTAGGTTACTTGGACACTTTGACTCCATTTAACCTAATCTAGAAATACACTCTTTTCTTAGTTTTCTAGTAGTAGGATTGGGAGTGGCATTAGCAAGCTAGAGAGTGTAACTAGCAAGCTAGAGAGTGTTACTAGCAATTGGACCTAGAGATGGGCCTAGGCAAAATTTTACATATTAGACTCATTTTACTCCTAATTTTTCATAGATTTGATTTAGCTAGGTTTCATTCACATTGGATGAACCTAACTAAACCAAATCAACATTTTTTCAAAACCGGTTGGAGTAAAATAAAGTCCATGAGCCGCCCACCTTGATTTGTGTTCACATTGCTTGTTCACACTCAAGCTTAGAAGCTTGAAGCACAAGCTTCTCCTTAGCTTGCTTACCAAGCAAGCTAAGTGAGTAGCTTGCTCTCCAAGCCTCTAGACCATGGATGGTTAGCTAGACCTTACCATGGTTCCTAGTGAACCATGGTTAAGGCTAGCTTGCTCTCCAAGCTTCCTACTCCTATATTTTTGTTTTTCCTTCATTGTAAAACACTTTTGGATGATATTTTTGAGTGAGATCAGAATTTGCACGAAAATTATCTCTTCCAAAAGTCTTTAACCTCTTTGATATTCATCCAATTCTCTTATCCCTTCCATAGAAGAGTGTGGTGAGAATTGAAGAGACTTATCTCTTCACCAAGGAGTGGCGTCTCTTGAGAGAGTTCCCCAACAAACCGTGGTGGTTCTAAGGTCTCTTCCTCCATTAGAGAACTTAGAAAAGCTTAAGAAGAATCAAGGAGCCAAAGGTCTAGGGCGGAACTTGAAGAGGATTCACATCAATCCGGATTCTCCATCAAGTTTTCCATCAATATGCCTCACAAATCTCAAGTAATACAATAGGAGAGAGAGAGATAATTTTCGAGCTCAAAGGAGTCTTATACGAAATTTCTTGGCCCTGAGAACTATACCCGAGTCTGCTATTTATAAACATCAAAAAGTTGTCAGAACGGCCCTTTCTAGATTCGAAATGGCCCGTTCTGGATCTGTACTTTATGTGTTAATTTCGTATCTTGGAACGACCCATTCTGAAACCAGAACGGGCCGTTCCAAAGTTGAGTTTAACACATAATTGCCTATGCTGGAATGGGCCGTTCCAAACTAGGGTTTTAGGCCTTTTTTGTAACTTGGAATGGCCCATTCTAGTTTAGGAACAACCTGTTCTAATTTGCGAACGGCCCATTACAATTCAGGAACGCCCGTTCCAACTTGGAAATGACCTGTTCCAGTTTTGGAACAGCTTGTTTCGGGCTACTAAAACCATCTTATTTGGGCTTTAGGCCTTCTAATGTCATGTCCTATTGTTTCCATGCTTAGGGAGCTCCTTTCCTTAATAATAGACGTCCATTTCATAGCTTTTGTGGGTCCAAACGAAATTGGGTGTCTATAGCTGCCCTTCTTTACTTATCCTTTGGAATAGCTATGTGTTCCTTTTCTAAAGGCAAGTAAAGACATAGAAATTTTGCTCATGTCTTCTTTTCGTCTCTTTGTGCTAGAGCTTCTGCGTTGGTTCCCTTGGATAGGTGTATTTGCTTGTATCGCCCTTTAGAGCAGCTGAGTGTTGGGTTGCGTACTCTATTGGGTAATAAGGGTGACAAACTATACACCTTATCTTCAGTCTTCTGTGATAGGCTCCATTCCATTGCTCTAATTGCTTCTCTTGCGATAGTGAGGTGGAGATCCGGGTCTTCAATCTTGTTTTGACATTAGATGCCTCCACGTTTGTTTCCTTCGAGTAGATAGTGTTTACCGGTATCCTTGCCCTTTGGGGCAACTGAATGTCAGGTTGTATACCCCGTTGGGTGTCAAGGATGGCAAACTTGTACCGCCTAGGCTTCGGGATCCATGTGAATATTCCATCACTACTACAAGATGCATATTCTACATCGATTCTCTAAAGGCATCTACATCGGTTCTAAAACCGATGTAGAATAGAGCGATGTAGAAAATGTATACATTTTTACATCGATTTTCTTGAGAATCGATGTAGATTTCATTTTTTTTAAAAAAAATCATGCTTATTTTTAGAATAGACATTATTTGCATAAGCAAGGCATATGGAACTAATGCAATGATTCACCGGAAAATGGAACTACCTGTCTACCATTCACTTGCAGAAAATAAAGCAATCAATCAAAGCAGTTTGTTGGCTTTTCATCATTATATTCCGAACAATTATCATTTCAAAAGCAAATAATAAAGAATTTGATTTCTATGTTGTTATAATAATAAAATCACAAAACTTAATATACATAACAATTGTAAGTGGATAACAGTTTAAAAACTTGTCACAATGCATATGTTGTTTAGTAAAATTAAATAATGTTTGACTAGTGGAAGTCAAGCTCTACAAACGCAGATTAATTTTTAATTGTCCTAAAGGATAACAGTTTAAAAACTTGTCACAATACATACACTGTTTAGTAAAACAAAATAATGTTTGACTAGCAGACTCCATTAAGTAAATTTTTCTTCTTAAAAACTTGTCACAATACATACAAGGAAGTTACAGACCTTCCAATTCCTAAAAAAAATCCCACTGACATGAACTACAAACTTTCCATGTAACTAAAAATATTAGTATAATGAATTCAGCAAAGATAACATATATATGATTACAATCATATTTGAGCAATGTTGTCAGGCAAATGAAACCCACCTCATCTGGATCAGATGAGTCCAATAAAAGACTTTGAGCAGCCCATATGATTTCTTCTGAATGATAAGTGGGAATTCCCAACTTCAACAGATCAAGATTGATATGTACAGGAAAATATCCGATGTCTATCAAAAGTTTAACAGCTGAAGATGCTACTTTTGCCAGACCCATTTCCTTAAGTATCTGCCAGTAAAAGAAGATAAATTTATTAAAAGAACAAGAAAGTCAACGGTGGTGACTGGTGACATAAACAATAAACAACTTTCTAGAGATGCATTATTATTCAATGATTTTATACTAAACTTCCAAGCAAAGAGACAGCTGAATCCACTTAAGATCATCCTTTCTCATTGTTAGGAAGTGGTACATTAGTACTAGACTTGTATTTGATACAATTCATAATTACAAATATATATACAAGGAATCTAATAAAAATAAGTTTGAGAATCTCGTGCAAAGTTTCTCCGCTCCCCTATTTCCTTATCTCTTCATATTATTTATATACCTGGAAAAAATACCAATTGTTACAATGTTACATGCCTACTATTTCCTTATCTCTTCATATTATTTATATACCTGGAAAAAAAAATACCAATTGCTACAATGTTACATGCCTACATAACAATTGAGGGAAAAAATTACCATCCCAGCTGTTTTCCTTTGTTCGTCATTTTTACATGTATCAATAGCATATGCTTCAAGTGACTCGATTCTATTCCAAATTTGTTCTAAAAGGAAAATCACCTCTGTTTGCCTGATTATCTACAGGTTGTGAAGCTTGTGATGGGTCGTCTTCTAGATGCAAGTGTTATCTGGCCAGAGCAATACAAGCCTTCAAGTGCTCCTTCTCAGAAGGTTCAGAAACAAGCAAATGAGCCTGCTCACAAAAAGGCCAATCCAGCATTCCAGAAACCTGGCACTGTATACCTGGTCCTCAACACCGTAGCAACTCGGCATATAACCCAATAAAACTGTCAACACCGGCAACAACACAATCAATTTCTTGGCTTTTATCTCTTTAACTAACATTTTCTTTTACATCATAGTTCAGAGAAAGGGAATGTTAACCCATTCAATTGTCACGCATGCCACAACCCTCAACAAGGTTATCTAGCCAAACAGCCCAAGAATAATAAATGTCATAGATGCAATACAAATCATAAGGGGGATTTTTAATATCATGAGACAATACAAGAATATAATACAACACATAAATTTAGTTTAAAATAAAAAATTTAAATCATAAAAGAGAATTCACGGTTAAAAAATGAGTATGAGTCATCATTGATAAATGTCTTTAAACTATGTTCATAGTTGCAGTTGTAGTTTTGTCACAATGGTTGATGTTATGAAAAAATTGCATACAAATGCAACTAATACAGCCACAATCAAGGTCACAATGTGCGTGCAGAGACCCCAAAAACATATAAGCAAAGTTCGTAAAAAAAAAGTATTTTATAAATTCAACCGTATCATCAATCGAAGCAAATCAAAATCAGTTCTTTCTAACAAAACTCAACGAAACAAACCTAGAAACATTGCAATGTTACATTGTAGCAACAACAAGTAATAAATTATAACGAGAAATTGGAATATTATACGGATTTGCGAAGCGAAGGAGAAGCTGATGGGTATATGCGTTGGAGAAGGGATTTGAGGGACGAAACCCAATCTGCCGTAATCCCCGTTTCCCCAGAGCGCGGCGAACCTCTTCCCCGGCGCGGACGAGAGCAATCGCGTGAAAAACCCTAAAGGCGAAGCGCAGAGGGGGAGTCTGGAGAAGCTTCCCAACCTCAACCCTAAACCCCAAATTCAAGCCAACCTCCTTCACCTTCGTCTCGACGGTAGAAGTGGAGCACGGAGACGAGCTGCGCGAAGTAGCGGCATGCGAGGGACTCCGGGAGGCAGCCGCGGCGGGAGAGCTTGGAGAAGAGCTCGCTGCGGCGAAGTCCACGATGTTAGGGTGGCTTTTATTGCGACCGTGGCGCCTAGTTTTGGGCTTCATGGGCCTTTGGGCTTTTGGTACCCAATATTGGGCTCATTTTCATTCTTGTAATTTTTCCTTTCCATTGTATTTGCTTTGCCATTGTATTTAGGCCATTAGAATAGGAACTTAGAAGGATTAAGTATTAAAACATGAATCATAGAATGTTAATTACATTTAAGAGTAATTAGAGTTGCATTTGAGTCACATGTTTTGTGCCAAAGGGGGTTGCACATGTGATCACTCAAATGAACCCCAAATTACACTTAAATGTAATTAAGGTTTCTAGAAGGAGGGGCTGCACATGGGGAGCCAAAGTGGACGTTCAAAATTTGAATTCAAACTCAAATTTGAATTCAAATTTTGGCGCCACTTTTAGTGCACATGGGTTAGCTCCTTGATCCGTGGCTTTATATGCTTGAATCCTTCACCTTTGTAAACACTTCTGATTAATAGAGAATTCTGAGTTTTACTTCAGCCCAATTCTCTCCAAGAGTCACCGAAATCTCACTAACCCTAGCCTTAGGAAAACCTCCATTCCTAAGCTTGAAAGTGAGCTTTCATTTGGATCTTTAGCTTGGATGCTTCCATCCTTAGCTTAGGGATTCTCCTATCATTCTATTCATCTTCTTCCTCCATTTGGATCATGGCAAGCTCAAGGAAAAGGTCTTCATATTTAGAGTATGTCACAAGAAGCAAGAATCACTCCATTGCTTCAACCTAAACTCCATCAAGTGGTATCATGAGCAAGGTTGCTTCCTTGAGCTAAGTACTCTCTTTTCACCGATTTTTTTTGTGTTTTTGTGTTCTTCTATGTTTCAATTGTGTTTTTCTGTTTGGATCTAAATTCTTGTTCAAAATTTTTGAGAGATCCAATTGGTGTGATTGTATTTGAAAATCCGGCAATCACATTGAGTCTAGGAATTCTACCTTGTCCGATTTTTCAATTTGTTTGAGTCACTTCTTATTTCTTTTGTTTGATTCGGTCATCTCATTGTCTATGCATGTTTTTGATTTTGATTTTTGAATCTTAAGTTTTGTCAAGTCATGTTAGTCCTTTAAAATGTCAAAAAAAAATTCAAGATGTGCTTGTGTTCATATGCTGAAATTTTTTTTGAGTTTTTTTGAATTTGGCCGAGATTCAATTCTAATCATATGTGCCTTGCTTGTTTGCTTTTCTTTTTGCATTTTTGAGTTCATGTTCATCATTAGATCATTGGTGAACTCCTAGAGTTAGGCTTCCATTGTGTTCAATAGTTTTCAAATTTACTTTCCATATCAAAGCATGAATCAATCATTTGTACCTTGAAATTTTAAGTGAATTATTCTACTTCTAGTGCACTATTGGTATTGGATTCAATTTGTATAAGATTGCTTGCTGGAAAACAGAGAAAATACAGAGCATATTAAATCAGAATAGTTATAAAAAAAAAAAGAGAGAACAAAAAGAATCCAACAAAAGTTTCAAATTATAGTGCACTAGTACTTCAATTTTCACTTGAAATTGATCATTCTAGTAGATCCGAATTATATACATTTGATTTGTGAAATTTTTTGAGATAAAAGGCAAGTGTCTTCTCTGGAAAAGAAATTTGAATTCAAAAAAGCAAAGGATTAAAAAAAATAATATAAAAAAAAAATATAGCAAGAAAAGCCGAGAAGAACAAAGTAGATAAAAATACACCCAGGTATCTCTAATCCCTTGTAATCACTCACGTGTAGTACTAGTGGAAGTGGCTTGGAAATTTCATGTTTCAAGCTTCCACTTAGGGAAAATCCGACTAGTTAATTAGTATTGTTTCCTTTTGATTTGTTTGTTCTTAGTTTGTTTACTTTGCTTTATTAATTCGACTAGCATGTGTAGAATTTAAATTGTTCACGTCTAGTTGTAATCAAAAACACTTGTGAAAATCATCAAACATTAAAATTTTGTGAAAAATTTTGTGGAATTGAGAATACCACAAGGAAGTTTAATGATTTCCACTTGAAAAGGCTTGGTTATTAAGTGGCTCTTAGTAGCTCACCTCCCTTGAAAGTGCAATTTGTACACTTAGACTTCCAAGTGTTAGTCTTGTTCCTAGAAAAGAGCCAAAAAAATATATTTTCTTTTTGCATAGCATAAAACAACTCTTTTTGTTTAATCATCAGAAAACATTCCTTAGGTATTTTCATTTTTCAACATTTATATCCAGTCAGCACAACATATTTATCAATTACATCTCAACTCGGTGTTACATCATTAACAACATACCGCACAACACAACTTTTCATCACACGGCATTGGCAGCATTAATCAACATAAACCACATTCAGCACAGCTCAGCTTAATAGCACGGCCTATCGTCTTACAGCACTTCTAAGAATCTTATAGTAATATACACCTAACACAGCTCAACTAGTCATCACGTCATATTCATCAATTTCGGCTTAGTCAGCATAAAACAATATTATCAGCAATTCAGCATATGACTTCACATCCTCATACGCGCCCGGTGCACTCATGGTCGCGCCCGGCGTGGCACAACCAGAGGGCTCCAGGGCCAACGCGCCCGGCGCAAGCGTGCCTGCGCTCGGCGAGACTTAGCCAGAGAGTCCAAAGCTCTCTCTCTCGCCTGGCGCAATGCCCAATTGCGCCCAGCACAGGTCAAGCAGAGACTGCAAGGACTCTCACACGCCCGGCGCGCCCCAACCCGCGCCCGGCACAGGTAAGGCAGAGACCTCCCTTGGTCTCGCGCCCAGCGCCCTCGAGGTAGAGACTCCCAAGGAGTCTCACGCCCAGCGCGACAAGGGCCGCGCTCAGCGCAGCACATCAATATCATCATTCAGCTTAATAATCATTCATCACTAACAGCTTAAAACAACATGATCAACACCTAATACGACCCAAACATCTTGTTTACAACTCATCTATCTTGTCAAATTACTCACCCAAACAACAAGAGTACACCTAAGCACCTAAAACAACTTTCAAGTTAACCAAATTCACTAAACGTGAAATGGCAACCATCACAGCAAATAGCGCATCAGGAGTTATACTACTCCTATCTTGCTCATCCTTATCTCATATGAAAGATAATCAAATTTCCTACAACTCTTATGAAGACACCAAGTCTTAATTCCTTCGTCTACCATGCTAAAAATGATAAAAACCGCAACAGCTATAAACAAAGCTAGCAGCTCGACCCCTCTTCACTAAAACAGCCATATCTAGAGTTCTAAAACTCCTTTTTGAGTGATTCCAGCGCCATTGGAAAGCTAACATCCAAGGCTACAACTTTCATGAAGACTATAAAGTCAAATTCTGAAAACAAAACAAAT